CCATACGTAATCGGATGAAACACACACACATATTTTGCACGCACGCACGCACGCACGAACGCACGCACGCACGGGCGCTTGTAGTCACACACACCGATATATGTACATAATAACTTTGCTCACCTGTGATCCCATGTAGAGGCTGAATATCGGTCCGTACTGCTCACTCAGCTGCTTGAGGTAACGTCCCCCATGTTTGCCGGCCAGCGAGACGAGGGAGCCGACGACGGGCCAGCCGCGGGGTCCGGGCGGCGCTCCACGCGGTCGCTTCACGTAGTACGACGACACGAGAGCCGTGATGACGACCAACACGACGCTGACGATGTTTCTACCGAGAAACTGCAGCAGCTGCGCGAAGGCGCTGGCTACGGTGCCGCCCATTGTCGCCACACGTGCGCTAACAGCCTAGTAACACACTCGGATGCGCGTCCGGCCACGGACGAACAGGATGAGATGGGATGGGATGAGATGGGATGCGATGTGAGGAAATAGAATAGGATAGGCTTTTATGAGATAGCATACGAGAGTATAGAAAAAAATAGGATATGATAGGATAAGGTAGGATACGATAGGATAGGATAGGTTAGAATAGGTTTGAATAAGGTTAGGATAGGGGAGGATTAACTTAGGATGAGGTTAGCATAGGATAGCAATTAAATAGTACACTTGGAGCGAGGTGTTACTGAGTTGTCACACCGCTTGATATAAATCGACTGTAAATGGACTGTTAGGCTATTGGCGATGCAATGACCCTTGGTCTTTTGCGTGCGTAGAGATATACCAAATGTCAACAAGTAAATTTGGGTTACATTCTAACTTCATATTCAGCCAATGACGAAGAACGTTAAACGAGAATTGTCCTTGGATACACGTCACAGATTTAACGTTCAGTTCCGTGTGTAACGATTTTGGCTTCTTGATATATGTTGGGGGATGTAATTATACATATACGATATACTACTGTGGACGCGTAAAGCTTGACGCAACCTTGACGTGGAGATGCAGCTTCAGCTTTATCGAATCCTCCTTGATTCACAGAGTCATCCTTGAGCTTCCGTCGTATGTGAGGCAAAAAACGTGGCAGTTTTGTGTGCTCCTCTATGCAACGGATATACACACGGGCTAAGCGGGAAATTTAAGGTGGCATAGAAAGTGTCAAGCCATCGATCCGGCGGACAGAGTCACTGTCAGAGTCACCTGCCAGCTGCACTCACGCCAGAGTGCGCGGAAAGTCAGCCAGAGAGGGAGGAAGAAGGCAAA